CTTCCTCTCTGTAAAAAATCAATAAAATATATTTTAAAACAAAAAACAAAAAAAAAAACACGCAGTGAAACCAGGCCCCTGGGAGCAGGTGTTTGCGCCCTTCAGTGGACGGCAGGGAAGCGTGCCCACGACAGCTCCTCCGCCCGGGTCTGGTTTCCGTGGAGATGGGAGCTTTCTGCAGCTGATGCCTCCTGACGGCCTCCCCAGGAGTTAGTGCCGCTAAAGAAATAATGAAATAAATCCCTCTGCGAAGGGCCACCCCGCTGAGACGGTGGAGGGCAGCACCGCCTCCCTCTGTTCCCCAGGCCAAAGGCACCTTCCTTGGGCTGTAAGATGGGGATCTGCTAACATGACTCACGGGTCAAACATGGCCGGCCCACCTCACGTGATGGGACACATGTATGTACTACCTCTGTCTGTGTCATCATCACCGTGAGAGAACTGAGGGTGACACAGACCCCAGGGTCTATGGACTCTCTGGGTGCTTACAGAAGGAGTATGCTGCCCCCTCCTCGCTCCCCCTGTCCCCCCCATTCTAAGAGACAGAAGTTACAGCTTCCACAGACGCTTACGTATATATGTGGGAAGATCCAATCAGACCTCCTGATGGAGAAGACGAGGAAGAGGAGGGAGGGGGCACAGCCCCATACCCGCCCGCAGCCCCAGCAGCAGTGCTCTCTCTGGGTTTGCTGGAGCCCCTGTCTCAGCTCAGTGATGAGAGAGAGAGTCATTGATCGGCTGCCTCCAACCCAGGCATGTGCCCTGACGGGGAATCGAACTCCTGGTTCCTAGGTCGACGCGCACCCACGGAGCCTGCCCTCAGCGTTTGCATCCCCACCGGCTGTAGACCGTGAGTGTTGACACCTCCCTTCAGTGGGCCCTTGATGTGACTGACTTGGTGTCATTCCCAGGACTTTTTCATACCTGTCCTCCCCCGAGTCACCGCACTTCTTACTGTGCTTAATTTAGATAATTACACACGGCTCCAGGCACAAGGACCCTGAGCTGTAGCAGCCTTCCTCAGGGGAGTCCTCCGGGGACTCAGTCCCAAGGCCACCGAGGGACCCTCTGCCTCTCACAGAGCACGAGGCAGACAACGTCGTTGCTATGTGGGTTTGGAGTCAGCAATTCCCAAATGCTAGCCAGTCCTCCTCGGTCACCAGGCCTGGGCCAGGCTGAGTCCTAAGCGCCTTCACGCCTCCCTCCCTGCAGGAGTCGGCGTTGATTAGTATTCCTGGTGCTGCTGGCCCACTGCCCGAGGTCGCACTGCCGGTTCCGAGCTGGGATTGCAGCCCAGGTGGAATTTCAGCCTCCTGCCCTCAGCTCTGCTTTCAGATTCTGCTGTGCCCCAGGAGCCGCCCGGGGTCAGGGAGTTAACTCTCACTCTCTAGCGTTTGATTTTAAAATTTAAGAGCCATGAGCCGTTAGCGTTTTCAGGCATTTCAGCCGTTGCACCCTGCTGTCCCACCTGCCACTTCCGGCCTCGTCTCCCCCAGGCCAACCCCTCCTCGCGACTTTTTCAGGATGATTTTCTCTATTATCAGACTTCCCTTCCTAACCTCCCAGTGCGATTCTCCTCTCAGCTTTTTGGCTTCTGAAAAGTCAGCTTATTCCTCGTTAGTGGGCAGAAGTATTAAGTAGAAATGGTCCAAGGTCAACTTGAATTGACCCTGAGAGAAGGGGGTTCCACTGGGTCCCAGGCCGGTTTCTAAAATGAATCCAGTTCTTCCGTCTTTGGGACCCATTGACACGAGTTTCTGCCTGAAGGAGACCTACTTAGAGCCCGAAACTCCAGGCTGATGAATTTTTCAAGTGGCCAGGACCGCGGCTGTCACCTGACAATTCATCTATGACTCTTACTTTCATGGACTCGGAGAACGAACAGCCCTTCCTGGCTAAGGGAACGGGGTTAGATGCGCCTTTCAAAGCTTAGCTCTATGGACTCAAGCATCAAATGTTGCCCGGCTGGTGTGGCTCAGTGGTTGAGCGTTGACCTATGAACCAGGAGGTCACGGTTCGATTCCCTGGTCAGGGCACATGCTCGGGTTGCGGGCTCGATCCCCAGTAGGGGGCGTGCAGCAGGCAACCGATCCGTGATTCTCTCTCATCATTAATGTTTCTATCTATCTTCTCTTCCTTCCTCTCTGAAACCAATGAGACAAAGATATTTTTAAAAGAAGAATCCAGTATTTTCTGAACAATGTGAAGAGAGCTCTGTTTCCAGATCCCTGTCTTTTCTGATGTGTCAAGAGAGCTCTGTTTCCAGATCCCTGTCTTTTCTCTGATGTGTCATCAGCAGCACCGACTGCCTCTCAGCATGCACGGGAGTCGTCTCCTACAGAGAGAGGTCGCCTGGAGCCGGAGCGGAGGAATCCCCGGTGGCACTGATGCGCGATTGCATTTGTGGCACGCTCCCCTTCAGCCCACGGGGTGGCGGGCTGACCTCTGACCCCTCTGCCCCTGCCTGCTGCTCCGATCGCCTTGGCGCATGTTTTTTCATAAGGCTCCTCCCGGCCCCTCGGGAGTCTGAGGCCTGGCTGCCCGCCTGCGCTCTGCTTCGTTAGGCCAAGGCTCCGCGTGGCTGAGAGCTGCGAGTCTGTAAGAGGGGACATCCCCGCGCATCCGTGTCTCACGCTGTCCCTGAACCCCGCAAATTGCTGAGACACCCCAGAGAGCATCGTCTTGGCTCTCTAGGTGTAGCTCTGCTTTGTATCCATATTTAACAGACCCTTTTCTAATTTTTCTGCTTTTGTCTGTGACCTGGGTAAACTGCGGATATGTAAAAAGTCCTCTAGAAATGGCTAGACTTAGCTGTTTCCACAGACCTACTAACTAGTCACACAAGTCGAAGGATAGTAAGGTGAAATTACCTTGAGCTAGAGGTTTGGCGGTGGGAAGCACAGACCGGGCTTGGAGGTCTTGGCCCTGCCATTTTCTTTGCCTTAATAGAAGCAACTGTGTCCTAGATTCCTCGCAAGTGACATCATTAGCCCCCACCCCCACCACCCCCAGCTAGGATCGGCGTGAAGGTCAAACAAAATAATGATCAACTTGTGGTTGTCACATGAGAATGTCAGTTGGCAGCAGGCTTAGTGTACTTTTGTGTATGTGTACATCAAATATAAAACAGCCTGGCCAGTGTGGCTCAGTAGTTGAGTGTCAACTCATGAACCAGGAGGTAACGGTTCGATTCCCAGTCAGGGCACATGCCTAGGTTGTGGGCTCGATCCTCAGTGGAGCGTACGGGAGGCAGCCGATCTGTGGTTCTCTGTCATCATTGATGTTTCTATCCCTCTCTCCCTCTCCTTTCCTCTCTGAAATCAATAAAAATATATTTTAAAAATGTAAGTAATAGCTTTTGCTTGTTTAGTTTTACCTGGATTGTAAGGAAAGTGAATTGTTTGTCGAGGAGGAAGTGTTTTGTTTTGTTTTGTTTGTTTGGTTGGCTAAGCCTGCACTAGCTGCCTCCCTCCCTCAGTGTACTGCTTGTCTACACTTGAAGTTTTTAATGATCAGACTGGTCCCTTGTTTCAAACGTTTCGTGAAATGATTTCATTCGCTTTTATAGACCATCACAGCAGCCCTGGGCCTCTGCAGACGTGGGCTCTGTGGAGGGCCCCCTTCCCCACCCTTGCCCCCTCCAGCTAGTTTATAGCTCAGAGCTGTGGCCAGAGACAAGAAATGACTGTCTAGCCTGTTTTGTGTTTTCCCCGAAAGGTTGACGTCCGTGGCTATTCTGGAAAGTTCTCTAGGAACACTCGATTCTAGGGAGGATCAGGCTGCTGGCTCTGGCACAGTGAGATTTCGGTGCACGTTTTTAAGCTTTTAGAAACGTTGCGTAGGGAAGAGCCTTTTTGCTCGAATCAGATCTCCACCCCATGGGAAGCTGATGAACTCAGGCTTTCGATGACTGGACTGCTCCTTCCCCGGGAGCTTTTCTTAGGAAGTTCCTTCCTTCCCTTCTTCCAGATCCAACATAAGGCCAGACCATGCTGACTCCAATTTCCACGAGTTTAAGATGCACACCTTCAGCCGGGTGACCTCCTGCAAGGCCTGCCAGATGCTGCTCAGGTGAGCTCCGCGCGGCCAGGGTCCAGCCTAAGGGAGCCGGCCTCATGGCTGAGTGTTACAGGCTTCCCTGACGTCCCAGCCCGATGTTCCCAAGGGGGATATGGGATAGTGTCTTAACGGTGTGGACCCCACAGAGCTCTCCTGGGCCTCGAACCTGGATGGGTCCCCAGGCCCGGGAGGTCCCCTGCCTGGGCTTCGCACACAGCACTGTGTTCCCGTTTTTCTTTCTCGCACCAATGACTGTGTCACGGCAGAGCTCAGCGCCGGCTCACCCCTCTCTGTCTCCCACTTCACCTTTCAGAGGAACCTTTTACCAGGGCTATTTATGCTTCAAGTGTGGCGCCAGGGCACACAAAGAATGTCTGGGAAGAGTCGACAACTGTGGCCGAGTTAATTCTGCGGGTAAGTCATGTCTCTTGGGGTGAATCTGCTGCTCACTGGGGCACAGAACTTGCCAAACCTAATTCAGGCCCCATTGACTCCTGGGATGTGTTTATAGTAGCATCTCTTCGTTGACACTCATTGACGAGCACAGGTTAGAGGATTGTTGAAAGTCATGTGACTTCTCTACACACGTGGCAGGCAGAGGGTTCAATTTCCGGAGGAGTTAGGTTTCATGTCACCCATTTCACTCACCCCAACTCCCTCATCTCACTAAGGCGGGAGCCATACCACCCAAACAGACACGTGGAGCAACAAAAACAAAACCAAAAATTATTCTTCATTTCTATCTTCAGTTCCTGAATTCCTCCCTTATTCTCTTAAATACTCAGCTCAGACATGCTAACGACGCCAGCAGGCAGCATCACGCAGAATAATTCATGAGCGAACGAATTGAATACATTGTCGTTTCCCAGCATGGAACAAAGAGCAATGTTATTTGGATTTTGTGTAAATATTTCCCCCTTGGTTTTTAAAAAATAACACCCCACGATTGTTTCACGGACCCGTCTCTAGCCCTCGGCAACTGCACATTCAGGAGCCTTTCGCCTCGCCTCCTGGGCTCCCTCTTTCTTCTCTTTCTTTTCTGGCCTCTTTATTCTTTCTCTTTCTTCTCCTTTCTCTTTGTCCTGTTCCCCTGAGTTTCTCTCTCTGCGTTTTATCAATAAGACCTTTCAAAATCAGTGAAACTTTTTGAAGAGAAGAAAGGGATCTTGAACAGCTTGAGCTCAAAAGGCAGCCATGTCAACCTTTGATTTTCCCAAAGGGAAAGGTGGACATTGAATTATTTTGGATAATCTGAGGAGAGAGAATCTGAGGAAGAGAATAATAGCTCGTTTCAGGGCTGACTTCAGAAAGTGGGCCATGGGGGGAAGGGGTGAATCCTATTAGAGGTCTGAGATCATAGCACGCTCCTCGCTTGGCTCCTTCAGCGGACATACGGCCAGGGCCCCAGGAGCCGCTCCCCGTTTCGGAGATGGACAGCTGCTGGGAGAAAGTCTGCCATTAGCTGAGCACTTGCACCATGCCTGCCCCAGGGCACACAAAGAATGATGGGTCAGGGCGCTTCTGCAACTCACTCAAGCTCTGGCAAGTGAAGGCGACAAGGTTAGCACCCACTACTATGTCTGAAGGTCAAGAACAGACTACATCCTGGCCAATGTGGCTCAGTGGTTGAGTGTTGACCTATGAACCAGGAGGTCAGGGTTTGATCCCTGGTCAGGGCACGTGCCTGGGTTTGGGGCTTGCTCGCCAATAGGGGGTGTGCAGGAGGCAGCCGATCAATGATTCTCTCTCATCATTGATGTTTCTATCTCTCTCCCTTCCTCTCTGAAATCAATAACAAATACTTAAAAAAAGAACAGTCTACAAAGCTGTAAAATACAGAAGAAATATTATATAGTGTTATCGCTGTTCTTTGTCTACCTGACAAAATCGATCACTTAAACTTTGTTGTTCATTTTCACGGGCCCCATTTTTTCATGTCTTTGGGGGAGTTCACATGTTATTTGCCCATAGAGACTGGTGTGGTTTCCTAAGCTCTGCAGCCCTGTTTGCTGAGTCTGGGCGGAATATAAAGGGGTCCCATGAGTGAATTGGTTGGAGTGGGTCTTCGATCCTACAGGGAATAGTAAGAGAGCAGGTGAGAGTCAAGAGGTCCCATGGTTGGTTGGCATGGTTCTTCCGGTCTGTGGGTTACAGTGTGGGAGAGTAGTGGAGAGTCAAGCAGAGATTTTTTTTTTTTTAATATATTTTTATTGATTTCAGAGAGGAAGAGAGAATCATTGATTGGCTGCCTCCTGCACACCCCTTACTGAGGATCAAGCCTGCAATCCAGGCATGGGCCCTTGACCGGAATCTAACCCGGGACCCTTCAGTCCCCAAGCCAACGCTCTATCCACTGAGCCAAACCGGCCAGGGCTCAAGCAGAGATTCTTGAAACTCTGCTATTTCCTAGTTACACGAGTTCGCAGAAGTTACTTAAACATTCTGAGCTCTCCTGAGTTCGTCTGTAAGATGGAAGTTGGAGGGTTCTTGCGCGGGTCAGATAAGATAACGTGGATGCTTACTGCAGAGCCCGGCACAGGTGGGGGGCTCAGGATGGGAACCCAAGGGGCTGTGTTGGAAAGTCCTTTTTTTAAAGGACGGGCTTCTTCTGTAATTTCCTTCTTGTTTTGGGATGTGGAGCAAATGTGGATAGAAACACAAGCGAGCACCAAACTTAGAAGTGAGACACAAGAATGACTTTCGTGGACTTCTAACATTTTAACTTTTTTGTTTTTTTTTTTAAAAAAAGGTCAGTAGGAAGGGAGAGGGAGAGAGAAAGAGAAACATCAGTCGGCTGCCTCCTGCACGCCCCCTACTGGGGATCCAGCTCGCAACCCCAGCATGTGCCTTGAGCTGAATTGAACCAGTGACCTCTCAGTGCATGGGACAGTAACTGAGCCACACCGGCCAGGACTAACAGTTTTCCTTCCTTCCTTCCTTCCTTCCTTCCTTCCTTCCTTCCTTCCTTCCTTCCTTCCTTTTCTTTCTTTCTTTTTTAAAAATAGATATGTATGAAGTGTCAGGCACTGTTGAAGGACTTTACCACTGTTCACTCATTGAGTCCTACCAAGGTCCCGTGAAGTTGGTTTCATTGCTTTGCTTGTCTTACAGACGAAAAACTGAGGAACAGGGACATAAGTAACGTGTCTAAGTTGTTTAATGATAGAACACAGGTTCCGTTCCGGGAGGGCCAGGTCCTGAGTTTACCCTGCGCCCTGGGCTGCGGACTCGCTGTGATGACACCTGCCGCATGTGTGACGGCACAGAGAATAGCCCAGCAGAAGCAGGTGCTCCGTCTTCTCCGGGAAAGGGAGCGATGTCCTAATAGGTGTTGTTAAGCAGTCACACTTGTGAATTGGGTAAGTGAGTAGCTACCAGCTGTGTGTAGGTTGCCATGTGTTGAAGGGTGAGAAATGCAGGCATCCCCGAGGGCCATGCTGCCCGCTCTCAGGGGCTGTCTCAGAGCTGGACGATGTAATCTTCAGTCCTCGGCCTCTCGTGTTGAGATGAGGAAACTGAGTCATGCACATAGGAAAATAAGGTAATCTAGAATCAGACTGTCGGGGCCCTGCAGGTGATAGATACTGTCGCTTACACAGCTCCCCTCAGTGAAGGGCAGCGTCGCTCTCTCAGCTTGGTTGCAGGGTTTATTATAAAGCCGGAAAGGGGCGGGGTTCAGACCTCTGTGAATCCATTTTTAGAATTCTTCCTGGCTCTTCCTGCTCCCTCTCCTTGAAACACACTTTCTTTTCTCCCTCCGGTTCCAAGATCTCACTCTTCCTTTCCTTCCGCTTCCCCGCGCTCTCTGCCAATCATGTAACCTTCCTCCACTGCCCAATGCCGGTCTGATATCAGTGGTTCTCTCGTTAGTATTTGTGTGGGTTTTATGTATTTGCCAAAGTTCGGTGTGTTGTGGCAACTAAACGCCCCCAGTTCCGATGGCTTTAACATGTCCCCGTTTGTTTCTCACACACACGGTACTGCGGCCCTGGCCCTCGGGGGTAGCTCCCTTCTAGTTAATGGCTCAGGATCCAAACCAGTTCCATCCTGTGGCTCTGCCTGCTCTTCAGACCCAGGGACTGGAAGTGAGCAACGCCGTTTAGTTTGGCCACAGTCCGCTGGTTAAAACCGGTAATGTGCTCTCACCTGAGGGACAAGGGCAGCTGGGCGTTGTGGTGGAACTCATGGCCCGTGTGGGGTGAGCCCCGCTCTCTGACGCTTTAAATTTCCTCTCGTAGATGGCATGGTCCTTCCCAATAGGGGGTGTGTTTCTCATTTGTGTCTCCCACTTAGTACCAGGTCCAAAGTCAGGGTGCCTCAGACCAAGAAGGCGATCCCTTCCCCCCAATAGGAGGGTTTCCGCCCACCGCAGTCCTTGTATGTTGGATGTGGCTGAATACCAACCTTCAAGCATTTGAAGAAGCTGAGTCACCTCTTTTTGTGGACGCTAAGCCTTCTCCGGGTGCTGTCTTCCCAGGGCTCAGAAACCCTTTATACTTCATGCTCCGTATCCCTTACATTCACCTCGTCTTCACTCATCCCTGAAATAGTAATCACTTGGCAAAAAATGCCGCGTGTTTCTGAGCGACGGAAGTAATGCATTCTCAGGAATATTCCACTCCGACAGATTACGGGCTCAAGTGCACATGAAGTATGGGAAAGGTCTTTTGATAAATGTTGGTTGTTTGTAAGACCAGCCGTGCAGCTTGGAAACAGATGGGAAGGTTGGGGGGTTAGTTTGTGTCTTCACATCTGGACACTCGCACGGGTGTAAAGAGCAGGCAGTCCAATCCAACCCTCTTTGTCGCTGAACTTGAGCGGACTCCTCCCGCTCGCCATGGCAACCTCAGCGATCAACACGCAGGGACTCGGAGGTGTGCTGCCAGCACTTCCCGCTCAGTAATGACCAGGTATGGCCTCGCTTAGACGAGCGTCTCCGAACAAGTCCCTGCCACGCTGGCATCATTCCCGAGTGGCATTTCTTTCTCACAGTGTCCCCCCCGGGAAGGCCTGAGCCGGGACTGCAACCTCTGGGGGCGTTTATGCTTTCCCCTCCCGTAGCATCTGGTCAAACACCCGTGGGTCCCCTCCCGCCCTGACGTTGCTCAGTACAGCTTGCCTTGCACCCTCTCCCTTTAAACACAGAAAGGGGACGCTGCCGGTTAAAGCACCTTCCGGGGAGTGGGTCGCAAGCCTCCGCTGCTCTGTATTCCACCGAAGTGCACCCCACTTGCTTGTCTGTTTAAAAACTGCTCCGGCTGCAGCTACTCCTACTGGAGAGAGTGGCCTTGGTGGCCAAATGGTTTAACCCTGCAAGGTTGCTACCCCCCAAACTGGCATCCGAAGTGGCTCTTCTATAGAGAGTATTGTAGTATTTTAACATGACCGCAGCCATGTGAATAGAATTTTATGTCAGCCTGCCACCGTTAGGTATTTTAACTTCTCTATGAACCAAGGCTTGATCGTCGATTCTATAACCCAAAACTGGCTTTGGTTCTACTTCGTATTACTTAAATCCGATCACATAAGTCAGTCCTCTTTTTTAACCCATCAAGACAATTTCATACTCAGGCCTTGCTATGATTCCTTCCACTTGCCTGTTTGGGTCAGTTGCATGATGCAGTAGTAATTATTCAAGTGAACTGGGATCTATTCCATGGTTGGATCCTCTTAGAGTCCGGAAAAGACTTGAACTCAAAGCCTCCCCCCAAGTATTGCTTATAATGTTTTGTTTTCCAAGATTTTGCTGTAGATCTGAGTGGCGAGCGTAGTATCCACACAACTTCCCCCCAAACTGGTTCAGTTCCCACTGTCTTCTCGCGTTACTGTTTCACAGAAACGGCCTGTGTTAGCTCTGATGACAAGGCACCGCCAAAGCTACACGCGCAACAACTTGTCTGTGCCCGCTTTGGAGACCAGTGATTGCACTGAGTATTGAGGTGCTTGGTTGTAAGAAATAGAACTTCAGGTAAAAGACCAAGCAGATTGCATCGTGATACATGCACCGGGAGCCACTTGCATGGGACGGACACATAGAATAGGGCCGGATTTTTGTTTAAGCAAATGAATCATGGGACGTGAGTGTACAGCCTCGGTGGAAACCATTTCTCTCACACACATGCCCGTGGCGCCCCGGGCTGGCTGCAGGCTGGAGCCCTGCACGCCCCGCCTTCAGCCGCACCTCGGCTCTGAGCCACAGCGAGCTAGTTGGGACCTGATGAAAGAACAGGAGGTCTGAACCCCTCGCGGGCCCGTGAGTCACCACCTGGAAAGGTGCTTGAAAGGGCAAGAACATTTTACAGTTTGATCAATAGGAGCCCGAGAAGTAGGCTGCAGGGGAAAGACACATGAGGATTAAAGACTTTTGGACAAAGTGGAAGAATTGACTTATTATCCTAAGGCCGTTCCCAGGAGAAAGAGACGGGGGGGGACTGTGTCTGCAGATCTCATCCAGCAGCCGTCCCAGCAGGTCAGAGTGGATTCGATGGTGATCAGCCCTCGGTGTCTTAGTCCTGATGTGGGACGTGACTCAGGGTTGTGCAGGGATCTAAGGGCCCGAGTTGCAGTTTGGGTGAAGCAGGAGGTGGGGGACGGGTTGGCAGGCTGGCAATCAGAGCAGCTCTCCATAGCGCTGCATCCCGGGAGGGTCTTCCAGGCGTCCCGGCCGGCAGGAACTCTGACCTGGAAACCAGCCTGCCTTTGGGTTCCCCCCTCTCTCCTGCCTGTTATTTTAGGCGACGTTAACACACCGTTGCGTCAGTACGGTGGTCAGGATGGAGCTTCTGTCTGTGAGTGAGTCAGTCCGCTCGAGAATTAGAAATGTGTCAGTAAAGTCCTGGCTGGGACTTTCTGAACTCGGAACAGCTTCTAAGCGTTGCTTCCAACCTGTTGGCTTTGGCCCTGTTCTCAGAAAACATACAGGACCCTCCCACGAAATATGAGTATAAGGTCTGACTCCCAAGAGCCATTGTTTACGTGATCGCGCAGCCTGCGCAGGTCAGAGTGTGAGCGGCCACCACCAATGCCAGGGAGGGAAGGAGCCTCTCTCTGGGGGAGGGGGAGGAGGGAGAGTGCAGGGGAGGGTGGGGGCCGTGAGGACCGGGAGTGGTGGCGAGGGCCAGGGTCAGCCCCAGTGCAGGGCCCTGGCCTTGGACTTGGGGGTGCACCCAGCCCAAAGCCCCTTCTCCATTTCCTCTGTGGGTTACACGGGGAGGCCTGTGGAGAGCAGTTCTTAGCGCATCCAATGAGGAGGATAAGGAAAGCGGATCCTCGAAGTGGGGGCAGCAGGAAGCGGGAGGAGTGAAGGAGGAACAGTGAGTGGGGTGGTTCCCTGAGTCCACTCTGTTCCCACTTGTGGCTGCCTGCACCTAACACCCTTTTTCTTCACTTTTCTTTCTTTTTATTTTTTAATTTCAAAGAGAGGAAGGGAGAAAAGGATAGAAACATTAATGATGAGAATCGTGGACCAGCTGCCTCCTGCACACCCCACACTGGGGCTCGAGCCCTTAGCCCCGGGCCTGTGCCCTGATTGGCAATCAAACTGACCTCCTGGTTCATAGGTGAATGCTCAGCCACTGAGCCACACCGGCTGGGCCTCACACTCTCTTGACTTCTGGGAGAGAGGCTCACTCATGCAGGCAGCTGGCCAGCGGGCACTCGAACCCTATCAGGATGCAGAGAGCTGTACACGAGGGTCATTTTGGGGGGCCCGCTTGCAGGGTGAAGAGGTGCCAGTGTCTGAACAGCAGCCTGCCACCCGGGAGGCCACGGCCCCTCCTCCCGAGGGGCTCCCAGGTGCCCGCCTGGGTGTGGTGGGTTTACCGTTGCATGTAAAACACATTGTAAAGGGCCTGCTTCCCCAGACACAAGAACACCTCCGTGCAGAGCCAGGAACAAAAGGCTCCTCTGGGATTGACATGAAGGGGCACCTTCCGTGGGAACAGGACCTGGGAGATCTGGGATTTGCGATGTCAGAGGTCATCGGGAAGCATCGAGCTCTGCTCAGTCTCCGGGAAGGCAGACTGGACTCGCCTCCTGTTGGCTCGCTCTGCCTCTCTGATTGGAGGAGAAAGTAGCTCAGAGCTATTTGGGCAGATGGCTCTTTTTGGTCAAACCAGTGGGACAGGTATTAGGACTGCTGTGAGGAACCGAGTTCACCTCGCCTGGGCCCTAGTCTGGGCCCAGAATCCAGCCACAGACCCTCTCCCCAAAGCAGCCTCTCCCAGCCTCCCCCCTGCAGCCGGCCTCGTTCTAGAGGGAGGACAGGAGTGGAGTCGCTTCCTGTGCAGGAACCCTGGGCAGAGGCAGCCTCCCCCCTGACAGTGGCCTGTGAGGCCGGGTGATGGGGTGGAAATTGGATCAAGGAACGCAGACGCAGCTTTTCCCAGAAAGGTGACTTTTCGCCCATGGGTTTTCCTTTCCATGAATCAGGAGCAGTCAGTCCTTCAGATGAAAACAGAACGAGAGTGGCCTCCTGTTGCCTGCCCCAGGCGGTCGTTCTGTGTGCACAACCTGTGGCCGCCAGTCGGGCTCTGAAGGCCGGGGCGCCCTTGAACTCTGCTCGGTGGGACTCCCACAGAGCTCGCATTTAGGCTTCCCCCCTTTCTCCAGACTTTCCCCCCTCGGTTTCTTTTTCTCTTTCCAGTCCTTCTTTAGAGGATCGTGTTGGGTGGGAAAGTACAGGCATAGGAGAGAACGGCGAGGTGTTTCCCTTCACAGTGGAGAAGTTAGAACCTGCCCAGGCACCCCTGGGTGTGGGGAAAGGAGCGAAAATAGCCCAATGGGCCTCCCTGTGCAACTGGAGCCGCTAATTACAGGGCAGCCCTGTTCTTTCCTGCGGAGTCGCTCACCTGAAGCTCCCGCCCTGCGTACCTGCTAGTCATTTTCAGGAACTAAAATGGAATGGGCTGTAACCAGTTTGGCTCAGTGGGTAGAGCGTCGGCCTGCGGACTGAAAGGCCCCGGGTTCGATTCCGGTCAAGGGCATGTACCTTGGTTGTGGGCACATCTCCAGTAAGGGGTGTGCAGGAGGCAGCTGATCAATGTTTCTCTCTCACTGATGTTTCTAACTCTATTTCTCTCCCTCCCTCTCTGAAAAAATCAATAAAATATATATTAAAAAAATAAAAATAAAATGGAATGGGCGTCATGGTTTTATATATAGACGGGTCCCCTGCTGAGGAGAGGAAAAGCTGATTGGAATCCGACCTTCTGCTTTTTATTTTCATCTTGAAATCGAAATGTATTCCCCACCCCCTCAAAATTAAAAATAAGTGTTTGTAGCCACTTAATGCAAAAAAAAAAAAAATGACACGCAGTGTTGTCCTGTGTCCGATCTGCGATGTTTGCAGACAGGATAGCGCCTCTGTGACTTGGTGCGTGGAGGTTCTTAAAACCAGGTGTGTTGAAAGCTCCCACCCAGCTTTCTCTTTGCACATAAATTTAGTGCAAGCCGCCGTGTCAAGGAGCTTTCTGCGGTTGGACTGACCCTGCTCCACAAGCAGTTGAAAAAGTTAAGCGTAACCGAGAAGTCATTCAGGACCATGAGTCACTCTCCCGACAGCCAATAGGGCCAGGGAACCGGAGTTGCAAAACAACTCCCAGCCCAGCCCGAGGGACCCTGGAAAGTTATTGCAGGTACCCGGCCGGGCGGCAGAGCCGAGGCGTCTGGCCGGCTGCACCCAGGCAGCGGAGGCCGCTCACCAAACGGAGACCTGCACTGACCATGCCCATCTTTACGTTTCTTTCAGAACCGGGGACGCTCAAAGCACCGGAGGTAAGAGGAACATTTCAGCCTTTTCAGATCACGTTTGCAGGTGGGGCTGTTTGCTAACAGGCGTGAGCTCTCGGCCTGTGAAATGTGCCTCTGGGAGTGGAGGGAAGCAGACGGGGGAGCAAGCAAGGGCGTGTGAATGAAACGCACGGTTTAGTCAGAGGTGCTTCCACAGTCACCTGCGGGAGGTCTCACTGGAGGGAAAGTGTGGATATTTAGCCTGAGCCTGGTGTGTGAACTGGAAGTGTCAGCATCTTATTGGTGCAGGTAAATTTCAGATGCAGTGCAGTGGCATTCATGAGGGGTGCATTCCCCGCTACGGAATTCCACAAACCCGGAGGTTTAGGAAACGCAGTGCCCGGGAGGCATTTCCTTGGAAGGAGGAGCTTTGCCCTGTCTGTACAGAAGGAAGGGTGGCCTCCTCCCAGGAGGCGGGGGGGCCTGTCGCTGTCACGCAGCCTGTTGCCGCCCGGAGTTCACTAGCACTGAGGTTCCAACATTGGCCACCCAGGGATGTGCCTTGTGTGCCTAGTGCTTTTACAGTGGAACACAAAGTGATTCGTATGGATCGAACCAAGATCTGATAACCATTTCCTTCTGGTTTAATACACTCTCACATCTAATGGCTTAGTTCTCTGTGGTCCCTGTCATCCCTTGGAATAAAGCTATTTAATAAAAGGAGAAGGAATGAAAAACAGGGCCAGTTCCAGGCAACCACTGCCTTGGCCTTCAACCCAAAGTAACACATTTCTTACCCGACTTCCCCCAAATAATGTCACAGCAAAGAAAATTAAAATAGAAACGATGTCTGATGTGATGGGAACCTGAAGTCCATTTTCAGAGAATCTATATACATTTCCTTCCCCACCCCCCCTCCTCCTTCGAGACAGCCCCTATCAGCCCCCATCACCAGCCAGGCCTAGTGATCCCACCTGTGCACGAATTCGTGCACCAGACCTCTAGTTTCAGAATAAAAGAATGACAAAAACATCCCTTGCCAAATTATTTTAACACAATTGCATCTCATTAAGAGTGGTGCCATTTCAGTAAGCATTTAATAGGCTGGTGTTCATATAGTTGGTAAAAATAATGAAAAGTACTGCAAGATGTCAATAAGAGGTAAGTTATTTTCTGCTTTTCTTTTGCAAAAGCACGCATTTTTTTTCATCCAAGGTAACAGGAGTGTGACGTGGACATTCAGGCGTGCCTGTTAATGTGTGAACTGACTGTATTTTAGACTCTAGATCCAGGGAATGTGTAACAAGATAATACTGATTTTGACATAGGCCACACAGGTTGTTCTAGGGTAAAATGAGTTACTGAGGAATTTCCTGTAGTGTGTAGCCGACAGCTGAGATTGTCATCAGGACTGTGAGGATTGACCCAGAGGCGCGATGCAGACCTTGGAGAGCCGCCCCTTCCCTCCCTCGCAGGCTGGTGGCAGCTTATTGGCACAGGTTTCCTTGCAGACCCTGGACTTCATCCCAGGGCTAGTCTGCCTCGATCCTGTTGGACACAGACATCACTTGGCTTTCTCTGGGAAGATTATTTCACTTGGTTTGATTCACGTTATGTCAAGAAAGAAAGTGTGCAGATGAGAAGTGGTTCATAATTTTCACAGGATGCTAAACAGTTTTCTCTGGGCATTTTGTGTGTGTGTGTGTGTGTGTTCTTAAGTTACACGTGCACATGTCATGAAAGGAATTCATTTTCACATTGAGTTTTTAAAAATGTAGCATCAGTGTTTCAGCAACTTGCTTATTAACTTTTGAATATAATAAGTGTAATTTTTATTTCCTGTGTGAATCCGCTAGTAATCTCTACTTTGGATGAGTAATTATAGCAAGCTCTTATACTGGCCGATTTATCCGGGAACTTGAGCTTGATTTAAGGGAGAATCAGATGTTAGGAAGTGTCTTTCACTCTGTCCTCCCCACCAAGACAGATGCTGCTATGATGTTCAGGAATCTTCCCTGAACTGAACGATGAAGGCCTCTGTAAGCTCTGGAATGTTTATTGCTTCCCCTCTCCTGAAGTTCTCCTTTCTCTCCATGTACCTGTTTGTAGTCCTATGTGGTTCCTCTTTCCAGAGCCACAATTACACTTTTTACTGTTCATGTTATACCTCATTGTCAAGGTGGGCCAGTTTTCAGTAGCCACAGGCCCCACGGGTCTCCTTAGCTTCCGGTGGGACGTGCACCTCACATCCATTCTAGCATAGGCCTTCAGGGGCCACCTCTGGCTCCAGGAAGCGAGGTCATCGTTGCATACCTACTTCATACACACCTCCGTTACATCTGTTCCTTCACACAGGGCTTTCTGTCTTCAAAACAGAGAGAGGAACCAAAGCCAGTTCCTTATGGCAAATGAACCTGTGCTTGTTTTGTTGGCAAAATCCACAGAATTAGGTGTGTCCCAAAAGAGGCAAGAAGAGTCTTAGATGATCAAGATATTTCTTTTAGAGAGAGGCAAGGTAAAAGGGAATGCACCAAGAAATAAAAGTAGGTTCTTCGGTTGTTGTCCTCCCCCTCCTCTCTCACCCCGTAGATGAAAGGGGATGGAGAAGGCTCTGAAGGTGGACCCTCCCGATCTCCTGGGGCTGTACCTGAGCTCCAGGGACGCCCATTACATGAGCCCACCAGTCCCTGCTGGCGACAAGGTCAACTCCAACTCGGTGCCAGGCTTTTGAGAATTTAGGCAGGAGGAGTGGAGTGTGTTTAAACATGCTCTGCTAAACATTTCCCAATATTTCATAACAAAATACTCTTTAGGTGCTTTTAAAGGACAATAAATTTCAACCTCTCTAAATGCACTTGTTCTGAGCTGAAGTTCCCCCCTTTTTTTTTTTATTCACCAGATCATGGTTTGTTCTATTTCTCACTCTTGTTATAGAGAAGTTTCTGTTCTCAAGGTCACTGGTTTTCAGTGATTTTCTGGAGGAAGAACCTAAAACATAAGCAGTAGGGCAATAACTTTAGTAGAAGAATTTGTCCTTTATATGAATTTAAACATTCCAAACACCATTAAGTTAATAAGGTCAATAATAATAATAATCATATCTCACTTAATAATCCTTGCTATGTGTCAGGAACTGTTCCAAGCACTTAACATAAATTAACTCACTTAACTTTCACCACACATGCTATGAGGTAGGCACTGTTATTACCTCCGATGGTGATATAATCCCCATTGGAAATTGGGGATCCAGACAGGCACAAAGACATTAACTAATTCATGATCAAACAGGTGCCTGGTGGTCTGAATTTGAACTTGGACAGTCTGATGCTACAATTCATACTCTTAAAAATTGCCCCGTGTTCCAAATTTTAACCCTAATTTCTAAGGTAATGTGGAGTTACTCTTGAAATTGAGTTTTTTTTTCACATTTTAAGTTGATAGTTTTTAAATAGTACTGGTTTAGGGATTCTAGGAGTAAGGTCCAACGGTTGAATTCCTTTTTTGCCTTCCAAGCCCTTTGAGAGTAGATGTTGTAAGAGCAGTAGATAAACAGCTCCTATTCTACGTGCAGAAGGAGGAGGGCTATCCAGGAAGTCACTAACAATGAAATACCCATCATTATATAGAAAATATTGTCAGTTGAGCTCATTTACAGAGAGAGCTCCAAAACTTCTACATAAAATTTCAGGCAGAGAAGTGTCTTTCTTTGAAAGCAGTTTTCTTCCAAGTGATTGCATGTGAATCTGTGACTCACCATGCTTCTCTTTTGTGCCTGGTTGACCAGATGGCCAGGACTGCACTGACTTCTCGCTCCCAGCGGCTCTCTTCCTGACTGGTCTGTCCAGTACAGATATCCATCTCGTTTGCCTGAGCTTCATCCCGTGGGCCTTTTCACAAATCCATTTTGAAAGTAGTGGGGTGAAAAAGTTATATGTAAACGATTTCTCCAATGGGCTTTCACCTCAGAACCCTGAACGTCTGCTTACCACGGCATGGAGGCCCCCTGGCATCTGTAGGAGCTCATTTCCCCCATTTAACTTGTGAAAGGAAACAACAGAAGGAACCCAAGGAGAAACCCATGGCTAGTGTGTGCTGAGCAAAGCTGGGTGCACCCTGAATGGAGCACAGTCTACACAGGCGCAGTCCCTGACACATGTTGAAAAAACTGCGGCTGTGAAAATCTGAATGACATGGCCGTTACAGGCTCAGCCTTGCACCCAGTAATGTAATACAAAGTGAAAATCTACTTTTAATCAGTGGGGTTACCATAGTTATTTTCAAAGCTTTAAAACCTTTTGTTTTGCATCTCATGGTAAGTTTTGCAATGCACAGGTTTTTTTTCATGTAAAATTTTTTTTCTTTATTGATTAAGGTGCACAGTTTTTCTTATGGATTCCTTTTCTCTAATCAGAATGGGCTTTTATGGTTCACAGGCTGCATGCCTGTTTTGTTTCTTGAAGAATTAAGATACAGCCGACCCACAGTTAGAATACCATCCTCGTTTAAGTGTTTGCTGAGGTCGGAGCTTGAGGTCTTTGGAGCTGCATCTTCTCCAGGCGCTGGTCTGTCAGGCCTCGAAAATCACCGAGTTAGCGTTTTGGAGATCACGTGTTTGCTGGGAGCATGTTCTGACCGCGCGGGGCTGCCTGGGCTTCGCTCTCATCACTCCTGTAGTCATTCTGACTTCAAAAAAATGAGTACTAATACCCACAGGTGGCAGATGGGAGCCTCCTTCTCTCCCACAGTGTTCCAGGTATTAACAGAGCCAATGGAATGGTGTTCAGGTGGAAGGCTCATTGGAGAAACAGAAAAGTTAAACTATAAAAACAAGCTTTAGAACCAAATGTTTGGATCCAATTTAGTCATACTTTCTCATGAAAAAGTACAACATTCATTGGCTTTCCCAAGTGTCACAAAGTAATATGCTTTAAAAAACCAATTTATTCGGTTACATTTTTTAATTAAAAAATGTAAACATACTTTTGAGATATCAGCATAACAAACCTGTAGATATCCACCACTGAGATGCAACATAACAATTTTATTTATTTTTAAAATTTATTTTTGAAGGTTTTACGTTTTATTAGATCCTTCACAAAGGAATGCCCTTCACTAATAGAAACTCTTTGTTTTGTCTTTCTGCACAGAAACGGACCAATGGACTGCGAAGAGCCTCCAGGCAGGTGGACGCAGGTATGTTTCTGGTTGCACGTCTCTGGTTGTGACTGTCGATGGGGATTACGGTAGAAAGTCAGGCCGGGTGTCGGCCTTTGTTTCCCACCGTCTGGTATGTAATGTGTGACCAGAAGTCAACATCTCATGTGTCAATCATTTACCTGATGGTGCCACCTCGGACAGGGTCACATGGTGAGTCCTTCAGGAA